TATATAAAGAAATTCAGTGTATAAATCACACATTCTGTATGGCCTTCATTTTAAGTTTTGCTTATAGAAGCACTGACTAGGCATTGCTTCTGAATTCCACATTTGAATAGTGTGGCTAACTTAATTTGGGCTTTAAACATCACTATAAAGACACCAATGCTTTGGAGGGAACCATTAACATTAGTCTACTTAGAAGAAAAGCTTCTTCATTTGGAAAACTACTGGTAGTTCACTGTCCTTGATGAAGACTTTCCCCATCTTCAAAGTCCTAGAATGTTATGAGTTTATAACCTTTGGGTTCCTGAGCCAATTCCCTTCCTCACTACAAATGTGTCAAGTATCTAAACCTACAAATGAGGCGGTTTAAAATTAAAATGTAACTTTTAAAATGGAAATAGATTCAGATATTTCTCTCCCCTATTTTACAATATTAAACATTCTATACCAAAACTTATTAAGCTTGTGAGCGTTAGTATAAGAACATCAAGGGACACAGAAAAAGTAGGTGTAAAACAAATACTTACTGGAATAAATGATTTCACAAAGGTACAGTCAAATTATAAAAATAATAACGTAGTCTTACTAAAATGTAGTCTATTCATTTTTATTTCTTATAACAAAATACAGAAAGTGTCAGGTGGTGGTGGCGGCAGCGGCGGCGGCGGCGCAGGCCTTTAATCCCAGCACTCGGGAGGCAGAGGTAGGCAGATCTCTGTGAGTTCGAGGCCAGCCTGGGCTACAGAGTGGGTTCCAGGAAAGGCACAAAGCTACACAGAGAAACTGTCTCGAAAAACCAAAAACCCACAAAAAAAAAAAAAAAAAAAAAAAAACACCAAAACAAAATACAGAAAGCTTCAGTTGCAGAGTTTTAGCAGAAATCTAAAACATACAGTGTTTTTCTTTTAAATATCAATATATCTGTACCACAGCCAAGTACAACTGCGTTTCACATTTTAAATGTCTCCAAAAATTTTTATTTCAATAGCACATGTTCTCAAAAGAAAAAATAAAGAAATAAATCTACAAGCTAGAAGATGCATGTCCTGGGGGAAAATAATACCTTTCTAAGAGACAGGCAAGCTTGGAGGATCTGAACAAATCGCTCTTTCGCTCATCCACTTACTAAAGACATCTCTTTCCACATGTCCATTCACCAGCTTTACAAATAAAAGCATGTTTCTCACTCATTCATAATCTTAAGGAAATGTGCTAGAGTTTAGAAACCTCCAGTACATCAAAAGTACAGTTTAAAACTCTAAGAGGCTGCAGGCAAGGCTCAGCTGGTAAGAGCTCTTGCTGCTCTTTTAAGGGACCAAAGTTCGAGTGTGCACATCTGGTAGCCCACAGCTGCCTCCATCTCCAGTTCCCGGCTTTCCAAAGCTCCCTTCTGATGTGTGTGTGTGTGTGTGTGTGTGTGTGTGTGTGTGTGTGTGTGTGTGTGTGTGTGTGCACTTTTGCATGTATACACACACACACACACACACACACACAATAAATTTTTTAAAGAAAGAAAGAGTGATTTCTTTTTTGAAAGAGTGGTAGAGTGATGTGTTAACAATTAAGCAAGGAAATGAATGGACTTCAAATTTACTTTTGAAAAACTGAACACATTTCAAAGAGTGCTCACCTAACAGATCATTAAATAATACCTGCTGCACCTATAGTTTGCAACCATAACTCAGAAGGAATTTAAACAAACAATGTAACAAATATAGCACAACTCTTAGTATTGCTTGGGTTTTGTATCTCTGTGAACAATAAATGAAAGTAAGATCATAAAACACAACCAAACGGAGCTGGAACTTAACTCTGTCTCATCTAGCAATAACTAACATTCAGAGAAACATGAATTAGGGTTTTAAAAGTTTTAGCAAAGTGATCATCTATATTATTAAGAAGGTAATTTACAATGAAATAGATTTTGTGTGAGCATATGTGTATACACGTTCATGTGTGTGCATACACATGTAGCTCAGCAAGCATGTAGAGGGGCAGAGGTTGACTTTGGGTATCCGTCTTTGTCCATAGATCTCCAGCATAGCCCCGGGGACATTCCTGGGTCTCCTCAGTGCTGGGATTAGAGGCGCAAGCCAACATAGGCAACATTTTCTTTTTGATGTGTGACTGTGAATCCAAGCTTATTAGGTCCTTATGCTCACATGGCAAATACCTTACTGACTGAGACAGATTCCTAGCCATAGACTTAACACCAATATTAGCAACAATAATAAAGTCACCATAAAAGAACTTACTCCATTGTTTAAAACTATCTTCTCCTCCAAGTACAAGGAGCTCAGAGGCAGAGTACTTATACAGCCTGAGAGATGCCCCGAGTGCCACCCCCCATGAAACTAAGCACAAAAAAGCAAATGACAATCTCAGAACCCTACACTATTAGCTTATGAGCACTCACTCACATTCTCTGGGAGATCTGTGCTCCCAAAATAGAGCCAAGACATGAGGGAAACAATGCTTTTTACACTGATCTCCTCAACTATCTGTTTCCTTCTTCCTCGTGGTGTCCTACCTCTTACTCAGGCTTTCTAACTCTGCATACTCATGCTAACACTGCCCACTCATGCTCACGTTTCTCTTCATATACTTTCATAGTATCTGGACTCCTCAGATGTGAAACAGGTGTGAGGTGTGGTGAGAACAGACAGTACCTGGGTAAGCACACTGCAGCAGAGCTACTGATTTGCCTCCTGGAGCAGCGCACAGGTCCAGAACCGTCTCCCCATCATTCAGTTCCAGAGCCAGCACGGGGAGAAGGGAGGCAGCGTTGAGGAGGTAGTACTTTTTCAAGTTTCCAGTCTGATGTCGCTCTGACGGCATTCGGTCTGGAGTTGGGCTGAGGTAACACTTCATTGATTTAGGATAATACGGTAAGGACCCTTGAAGGATTGTGTGATAGCCCCTCAAACGTAAGTCCTTTTCCAGCTCAAAGGGATAATTGAATCGGTTGAAGAGGATGGCGTATTGCCACAGTGATGGAGATATTAGAACATCTCTATGACAGAAAAAGAGCAATAAATGAGTATCAGTATCATGACCTAGTGCGATTTTATACAATTAATAAGGTGAACGTGGTCCTCGGTTTACATTCCATTTCCCTGTGATTGTTCAGACAGGATCTGTAATGGTTAATCTGGACTGCCAGTGTTACAGGGCCAAGAAAAAAACTAGATTTAGTGATGCACACTTCTGGATGTGTCTATGAGATGATTAGTTCATGAGGCTCTTACCTAATCAATAGATTAATCCCTGGTGGTTCATATATTATGCTATAATTGGGGATGATGAAAAGTTGGATGTGGAGCTTGGTTGGGAGGTAGTAATCACTGGAGCTGAGTCCTGGGAGGTAAATTTTGCCTCAGCTCACCCCCCCCCCCCCCCCGATTCCGTTATCTGCATCCAGGCCCTGATGATGTGACTGGCTTTGTTCCACCTTGCTCTCCTCACCCATCATGAACTGACACTTCCCAATCTATGAGCAAATAAATGTCACTTTCAATCTTTTCCTTAACTTGCTCTGTCACAGCAACATAAAAACCTGACTAATAGAGGGTTGGTCTTCCCAACTCTTCCTTTTGCCTCATAAGGCTGGGAAGTGGCCCACCCTGACTTTACTTAACAACACAATTTTATTTATTTTAGCTTATTGTAAAATTAATTAATTAATTTTTTGTTTTGTTTTTCAAGACAGGGTTTCTCTGTGCAGCTTTGTGCCTTTCCTGGAACTCACTCTGGAGACCAGGCTGGCCTCGAACTCACAGAGATCTGCCTGCCTCTGCCTCCCGAGTGCTGGGATTAAAGGCATGGGCCACCACCACCACCACCACCACCACCACCACATCAACAGGAAACATTTAATTTATTTACTAGCTGACCTTTCTGGCTGAGTTATTTGGGAGCCTCTTTAACCATGGTCAATTAAATAAATTCCAACTACTACTCACGGTGGTGAAGTTGCTTATATGAGAAAGGGCGGGATTGAAATGTGACACCTGTGACTCACACATGCCACGTGAGCATCGATCTCACCCACAGTGTGGACTGCTTTTGTTTTTCATTGCCTCCCGCTTACTATGGATGGGGCACCTATTTCATTTACTGTACCACTGGATCCTGTTTGGAGTTACTGGTTCAGCAGGATAGGGCCCCAAGTTTTTGTCTCTTTTTAGGAAAATGGATGACTGACTTACTTATTTGTGTGTGGGTGTGCACGGAGAGTGTGCGGTGTGAATGCAGAAGTACAGCTCCACACACACCTCAGTGTCCATGTGGAGCCACAGGACAGCTTCTGAGAGTTAGTACTCACTCACCTCCCTCCCTCCCTGAGGCGGGGTCTCCCCCATTTCCACTGCTGCACTTAGTAGCCCAAGCTAGCCAGCCCTCCAGCTTTCAGGCACTTCTCCTTCCTCTACCTCCTACTTTGCTCTAGGATTGCTGAGATTATAGATGTGTGCAGTAGCACTCAGTGGGTCTGAACTAAGGTCAGGCCATCTCCTCGATACAGAGCCAAAAATTCTCCTTTCTAAACAGGTTCCAGGTGGTACGATGGCATCTGTCCTCTGGGACCACACTGTGGGAACTACGGCTTTAACACATGCTCCAAAGTGAAATCAGACAGTCATTACAAATCGTATGAGCGTGCGTCCCCCTCCTGTCCCCCAAACTAGATGGAGATTTGCTCAATGCTGAGAGTCACATGCACAGCTTACATCACCTCACCTCTCTCTCTCTCTCTCTCTCTCTCTCTCTCTCTCTCTCTCTCTCTCTCTCTCTCTCCTTTTTCGAGGCAGGGTTTCTCTGTGTAGCTTTGCGCCTTTCCTGGAACTCACTTGGTAGCCCAGGCTGACCTTGAAATCACAGCGATCTGCCTGGCTCTGCCTCCCGAGTGCTGGGATTAAAGGTGTGTGCCACTACTGCCCGGCAACCTCGCATCTCTTAAGAAATAAGGGGTACTCTCTACTGTTTGGCCTAGGACACAGTCTTACTTTGCTTTGGAACTCCCAAAGCTATTCCTGGATTTCTATTCTTTCAAAGAAATTTTAAGAATCCACTGCTCAAGTGCTCAAGTTAAAAAAAAAAAAAATGTGGACTGGGCTCTGTAATGGGTTCCAGATCAGACTGTGCCAGACTGAGAACCTCCTCAAATTAAAAAAAAAAAAAAAAAAGTGAAAGAATCATGTATCTAGAAAGCTCAATCATTTAAATTGGAGAGAATTAACAACTTCGTGGCATTCAGTCTGTCCAAGCCAAGCCACCTGTGTTTCCATTTATTAAGATTTTCTTTAAGTTCTCTTAGTAAATGTTATTAATCCTATTTTCTTTGAAGCACATTGTCTAAGAAGACTGTTAGTTTAGGAATACCCCTGTTATTTGTCTATTAGCTAACATGCTAATTAACACAAACCAACACTAGAAAGCAGTTCCAGGAAAAGGGCAGCAGCTCCTGCACAGGTACCACTGGTGTGAGGAAGAACTGGCCTTTGGAAAGCCCAGTTGGTGTTGGCTCATGCTGGAGATATGGACACAGGGTGACATTTAAAACACTGGCTTAGTGAGATGGGACTCTTCACAGACTTAAGGATGAGAGAGCCAGCCTGATCGGATCTGAAAACAGGCACTGTGGTGGTGAAGTAGACATCTTCAGAAATTGTTCTCCTTCATTTATGAACTAGACAAAATAAAATCTCATTAAAACAAGTAAAACTTGTGATCTACACCTAGACCTCGAGAACTGTGTGAATTCCCGAGAAAAAGATCCTTGGAGACAGAATGCCACTATAAAGTCCAGACTAAACTGTAGCTTCAACTTTCTGAACGGTTCCCCGGAAACCCTGCTCCTACAGCATTGGAAGTATCTAAGAGGGAGGGTTAGAGCATTTCTATCCTGGTGTACTGAGGCAGGCCTACTGCTTGCCCCATAGGAACAGCTACCACTGGACAAAAACTCAAGGAAGCCCTGCAGGAGCTGCTGAGGCTGGTGCCTCCGAGCCCTGGGAAGTACCACTGTCTGTCACTAGAGGACTCACACCTCCCCTGTGCAGCAGCCTGCCACTGCTGGATACGGCAGCAGGGCTCCTTCCACAGGGCAGACATGGAGTCAGGACACACACACACACACAGACACACAGGCACACACACAGGCATACACACAGGCACACACACACACACACACACACACACACACACACACACACACTGCAAGCACAGTTACTATTTCTAGAGTTATCTATGATGGATAAACAAACAGGATTAGAACATTCAAGGAGACAAATGAGCTGGGTTCCAGACTCCAGGCCTCCTCCGAAGATTCACAACTATGTAGTCTGAAGCTACTCTAGTTCTTGGACTCCACAGTCAGGAGAAAACCATGTACATCTGAAGCCAGCCTGACTGGCCCCTTCAAAGTCCATGACCTAGATACAACTGTTTATGCACATAGAATAGTGCTGCTATCAGCTTTGGTCAGAGAAGCTTAGTTTTTTTCCATGGTCAACAGTGAATGTAGAAACCCATTGCTGGTGAGGGTACAGAGAATAAATGACTGCTGAATGTCCTGTTATAATTGGCACGTCTCTATCACACTCTTCCCAAGCTCAAGGAACATTTTGGAAGAAGCAGAAGAAAGAGAAAGATGGGTGTAGGTGTGTTGCTGACATCTGGGCAGGAGATGGCTGCTGTATTCTTGGACTCACAGCAGTGTTATTACATGCACAAGATCTGCACAAGGGCTGGCGAGATGGCTCAGTGGTTAAGAGCACTGGCTGTTCTCCCAGAGGACCTGGGTTCAATTCCCAGCACCCACATGGCAGCTCACAACTGTCTGTAACTCCAAAACACGAATGCACATAAAATAAAAATAAATACAATTAAAAAAAGATCTGCACAAGGTCAGACCAGACATCACCTTGTCATGGAAGGGGAAGAACTCATCAAGACTGATACAGTTAATGGTTAGTGCGAGACAGAGAAACATTTTCTTCATCGCTGTAGTCATTGGTAAGCTGCCCAAGCTTCTCTAAGTTGTAATCCACATCCCAACTGAAAATCCTAAGGATACTCATTAGTACACACACACACACACACACACACACACACACACACACACACACACACACACACACACACACACCATGAAAGCAGAAGTGACAGCAGTAGGGAAGAAAATCATCATCAGGAGTGGAAAGGGAACAAGAGAAGGTAACAAAGGGTATGACTATGCTCAAAATACATTATGCACAAGTATGGAAATGCCATAATGAAACCTACTATGTATAATTAATATATACAAGTTCCTGTCTCAGGGGCTGGAGAGATGGCTCAGAGGTTAAGAGTACCGACTGTTCTTCCAGAGGTCCTGAGTTCAATTCCCAGCACCCACATGGTGGCTCACAACCATCTGTAATGAGATCTGGTGCCCTCTTCTGTGTACGTAATAATAAATAAATCTTAAAAAAAAAAAAATGCTCAGAAACCACAACATAAACAAATATAAATAAATGTACCAAGTGGAACATGAATATTAGAGAGACCTGACACCTGTCACTGTTCACATAAAGCTCATATACTGATGATTCTTCAATAAGTAGAAATATATGCTTCCATCCTTTAGCTTTTTCCAATAAATTTTAATGCTTGGAATCCTTTTTTTTTTGGAGGGGGGATCTTTCAAGACAGGGTTTTTCTACGTAGCCCTGGCCTGGCTGTCCTGGAACTCATTATGTAGACCAGGCTGGCCTCAAACTCACAAACTCAGAGATCTACCTGCCTCTGCCTCCCGAGTGCTGGGATTAAAAGTGTGCACCACCGCTCCCAGCTTGTTTTTTGTTTTTTGTTTTTCAAGACAGGGTTTCTCTGTGTAGCTTTGTGCCTTTCCTAGAACTCCCTCTGTAGCCCAGGCTGGTCTTGAACACACAGAGATCCACCTGGCTCTGCCTCCCAAGTGCTGGGATTAAAGGCGTGCGCCACCACTCCCAGCTTGTAATCCATTTTTATTCA